ATATATTTTTTCACATAACTCGGTTCGGTTTCGGTTTTCACAAACCAAAACCGAACTGAATTATCGGTTTGTTTATCTTTGTAACCCAAAACCGACTGGTAGTGAAGAAAAATCGGCCAACTTGAGTTGGGTTAGGCCAGGTTGATCGGTTTGGATTTATTTGTGAACAGTCCTAGATAGAGATACAAATACGCTTTGGAAACGCATAGATACAAATGAAAGATATGAAAACACATGGATACACTAGGAAAATAATACAGATTTCATAAATACATCAATTACACTAACTTTAAAAGTCAAAATAACCACAAATAAAGTATAACTACATAAAAATGTACATCTTAATGATAAAGAAGTATTACTAATGTAACAAGATACATAAATATCATACAACTTTGTTGATAATCTATCAATCAAGAGTCCAAGACTCATATTGTATTGTTTTTACTAAATAAAGCATGCACAAAACCATTATTATGTTAAATTCTATAAATCCAAGACACAAAACATATGCAATTATTATATTTTAATTACTATAGCAATTATTTTCTATTTTTACTTTTCAACATTGACAAAAAAGTCAATTAAATATTAAATTTTAAAATGTTTGATAATATCAAAATTATTATCATATGAAATTCATAATTTTTCTACATATATTATTATCATATTTTTACTTTAATCTTAAATGATATATATCAAAATTATTAAAATTTCTAAGATACACATCATATGAAATTGATAATTTTTAATTACCAAAGTAATGATTCCATTATTAACATTTTTATTTCTCTAAATTTTTTGAAATAGCAAATCATTTTTATATAAATTTAAATTAGTGGATTTTATAAATTCAATTTAATATTTTATTCTTGAATATTTTGTAAACAATTTTTTTTATTTTTATAAATAATAAATATGTTACTTTTTAGTCTACATTAAAATATCAGTGAATAATTTATAAAAAAAGTATATTAAAATTAGAAGATACATATAATGTACAAATTTATGAATTTTAAGTACTAAAATAATTAGTTTATTATTAATATTTCTATTTGTATAATGAGAGTAAAAAAACAATTTTTGATAAATTGTTTACTTCATTAATGTTTAGAAAATAATAATTTTTAATGTTATTTTTTTTATTTTAAGTTTTTATTTTTTGAACATAAACATATATTATTTATTTAAGTTGTATGTTAATAATAAAGTTACTAACAATGATGCAAGCATGTTAGATGTAAAAAATTGGTTTAATCGGGCGTATCGTGTTTGATAGATTGTTTACTTTATTTATCAGGCGTATCATGTTGATATTTTAATTCTTGATCCTTGGCAAACTAGGATTGTACCCACTCGTCAAGCAAATTCATCCAAACATCCCCATATTGGATTCAAAAGGAGCTAAATAACCAAGCTGCTTAAGGAAAATTACACCAAAGAGAAATAAAAAAAAAAATCTTCATCTACTTCCTTACATGTGGGATAGAGGCCATCCCTGAGGATAACTTTGCATTTCAAAGCCTCATTGATTGCAATAGCCCCTAAGCAAGCGTGCTAGACGTAAAGTTTAATTTTTGCAATAGCCCCTAAGCAAGCATTCTTGGATATCTAGTAACCTATGGCGGATTGGTTATACCTTATGACTAATTCTCTTTGCCTCCTAAGTAAGGGTCACGAGTTGGTAGTGGATTTTATTGAGTAAATTTCTAAGCTCATAGGGACTGGATCAACTTGTCTTTTTTAACTCTACCGTGTTCAAGAGAGATGGAAAGGATGGTTATTGTAAAAATTGAGGAAATGAGCTTGGCATTCCATATATTAGGGTTGTGAAGAAGTAACTCTTCCACCTAGGAAGTAATGTTATTTGATGGACATGGGGAATGGATATGGTGATTAGGTAAATCCAAAACCCACCTATCCCTCCAAATGTTGGACTTCCCATTGCCAACTAGTTAAAGGAGCCCTTCCTTGAGAGTTTGAAGATCTACATGGACATGGTGCTCATGGGTTAACTCTGCCTTGTACAAGAATGGCATTAGAGTAGTATAACCTTTTGAGAATTGAAGACCAAAGCTTGTGATCATCATGAAGTAGTTGCGATGTCTTTTTAGCAAGGGCTCTATTGAAAGCATAACTGGTGCAAGCCAATCCATTTGAGATGAGAACTTTACAACTTTTGTCTCCAAAGAAAGGTTGAACTAGAGTTGCTCAAATTGTTACAAATACATTATAGCATTGAGTTAGAAAGTAAAGCCTAATGCCAATAAACCATTTTTGTGGTGTCAAGATACTTGAACAAAGCTATTATCTCTAGGATGCATAAGACATAAGAAAGCATTCTTCATATCCTCCTTGGAGTATATGAACTAAAAGACTTCAGATTTATTGAGACTGAAGTACTACCTTGAAGCTTTATTGAAAAAGCAAGGATGTTTTTTATACTTAAGCAATTAGAGACATCTACTTTAAGAAATAAAAGACTATCATCTTCAAATAGAAAATGTGAAAGCGAAGTAGCCATAATGAACAATAAAGTGACATTTGGGTCACATTAACACAAGCTTGTAGCATAGTCAAGATTGTCATAACCTTTGTGAACATTAAGCTTAATGGCCATGTGAATAAGTTTCCTCCTTTTTATACCTGAAAAAGTGGAATGCTTCATGAGAGGCAACTGTGTTGTCTAAGATAAAATGCTTAGAAACAATTGCACATTAAACCCATCATTGGTATGATATCAGTCATGTAAGGCTTCAAGTTGTTAATCAAACATTTGGCTAACAATCAGTAGGTAACATTCACCAAACTAATTATGTAGTAGTGGCTAATGCCACTTAGGGATCAACAGAATTATATATATATATATATATATATATATATATATATATATATAGTCTTGTTAATTTCATTGGAAATGTTGGCTTTGAGCAGCTTGTACTACATTTTTAAAAGAATGGCATGGGAAAACCATATAGAATCTCCAACTTCCTCATTTGAGATGTGGAAACCCAAATTGTAGTAATCTTGATTAGAAAGGCAGGGGAGAGAAATTGAGTATATAATCTCTAAGTAGTTAGAGTAGGGCGTACTAGAGCTTGGAGAAGTAGTACTCTATGAATGACTATAACAAGGTTGTTCTATAAAAAAACTTATTATTCATATTCCTTACAATGGGCTACTCTACACTTATGAGCTCTTTGTTCAATTGTTTGTATAGGCTCTTCTTAAGGGAGTGTGATGCCTGTGATTGTTTTTTAGGGGTTCTTATATAAGTCTTGAGATTTGGTTGCAAATATGATCAAAGGATTCTCCCGAGTTTCTTGTGAACTCTCTTTACATTGACATTTTTGGGTAGTGGAAAGGCTTGTTCCAACACTCTTCTATAAGTTCCAAGCAATTAAGAATTATAGGAGATGTTTGGACTCTCATTGAAGACTGTGGTTTTTAGGTATTTGACACACCATTGTGTATTGGTGAAGAACCTACCTAATCTTTCTTGAATTAACTTTGCAATAAGGTGCCAGTTGGACCAAGTAAACTACACATCTCAGTTTCCCATAATTCATTAGCTGGAGAGAGAGTTTTGACATCTCTAAAAGCTGAATGTCTACTACTCCCACTACTATTCCCTCCAGCCTTCTCACTTTTGTTTAAGACTTTATTAAAATCAACAACTATGATCTAAAGCATAATGGTGTATGAGAGTTCGATAAATAAGTGAACTTTGGTGTCCATCAGGAAAATCAAGGAAGAGGCATGAAACTTTATGTGGTCTCTAAGGATGCAAGCTACTAAGGACTACCTTAAGTCTTGGTAGTTCTAAATCTATGATGCTAGAAAGGTATGATATAGGAAGAACTTCGATTGCTTTATTTATTTAGATATTTTATCAATTAAGTTGGCTTATGAGAGTGGTTCGAATTTGATGTGTAAATAGGGTTTGACACACACACACACACACTACTTAATTTTTTCAGTTTTTTTTTTTTTTTTTTTAAATTTTATAGGGCAAGGTCTTAGCATCAATATTTTAAAAGCCAATCTAGAGGTTGAAGTGTTTTTGCCTTTGGGTTGTAGGTCATAGGTTTGATTGTTCAGGTCAGATGGGTTAGACTGTGCTATGTCAACAAATATAATATTACATATACACACATATAGGTATAAACACATATTTTATCAATAAATATGTATAATTATATTCTAAATGTAATATATGTATTAATTTATATTTATATTTTTATTTATAAAAAATGCTAAAAATGTGATTTGAGGCCAAACAATTTTTTTTTTCTTTTTAGAAAAATAGCATGACAAGACACTTTCGATACTTTGGGAAACATAGATCTTAAAAAGTTACTCGAAATAAAAAAATAGATCACCCCAATCATATATATGAATTCAAGGTTTTGACCTTCGAAAATTTATGGCCTTCCAAAATTTATATACATATTTATTATAGAACCCTTAGTCGATAATTATATTGAATGGATCACTGATTTAACTGCTTGGATCAAATGAAAGTCAGATTTTACGAGAACCGAACCCGAAACTACGGTTGAGTGACGATTCAAACGGATTGGATCAATGATGGGTTGAAAACGCTACTTAGCATTAGCAAGGGCGACTGCTGAAAATATTAAAAATATAAAATACTTAATATTTAGCTTATTGGGGTGGGACTAATACGATATGTCATAAGATACACCCCGATAAGCAACGAAATTTTGATTTTTGGAACCTTGAATTGCATTAGGGTTATTTTAGTAATTGTACTTAAAAGCAGAAGCAGTTTCATTTCTCGAAATTGCAGTGTCAGTGTATCACCAAAGATGTTAGACTAGATTGTCCAAACTTGGGGACAGTATAGTAAATAGGTGGTAGATAAAGGGCATTTCCTTAACTGACATTAACTGTGATGTCTTGAGCGAAGTTCCTCCATAGACGACTTTTAACCGCAGTTAGCGGACCCGACCCTGGGTTCATATAAAGTTTGGTTATCTGCCACTACTGAACGCAGGGGAAAAAAGAACACGGGCTTAGGGTTTGACTGATAACGCAAATCGGGTTAATCCTCGGGTTAATTACCGGATTCCGGCAACTTCGGGAGATTCCGGCGACAATCCAATATACGATCTGCAATTCTAGTTTCCAGTAAGCCAGAAATTGATCGCGTATTGGTGGAGAAATCAGCGGGGAACTGCTTTAAAGCCCTGAAGCCAGTCACTCGTAGATGCAGCGAAAATGTTGGAGAGAGAGTGAGAGAAAGTCGGTTGTTGACGTCGGGATCAGTGGACCAAAAGGGCGCCAAGAGTCGTAAAAAGTGCTTTTGAATAGCGGTTTTCCCAAGCGCAGATTTTTGGGGATTTTGTAATTTGGTCTATTTTGTTTGGTTTTTGCTATTTTTGAATTCGTGTATGCAATCTGGTGGCACGCAACAGGGCGTTGGCGCCCCAGGTCATGGCCGGAATCCAGCCATGGCCCCACCCGGCCGGTCTTCTTCTTCTTCTTCGGCATCGCCGTCTTCTTCTTCGTCGGCGGTGTCGGCTCCACATCTAGGGTTTGATTCGATTCAGCAACAGCAACATCAGCAGCAACAACAGCAGCAGCAGCAGCTCGCGTTTAGGCAGGTAAGTGTTTAATTACTTGTTTGCAGTGTGGCGCGGTTTGATTTATTGGGAATTCGAGGAATTTGGGGTTTTTAAATTTCTTATTAATTGGAGAGGTTTTCAAATTAAATTGTTGTGGTTCTCTTAGCACGATTTTTTTTTTTTTGATTTTCTTTCTAAAGACGTTGGAAGGTAATGTGTCTGTTGAGTACAGTTACTTCATCCACCATAACTCCCGCAAATTGTGGATGGTAATTTAGTGGCATTAGTGGTCAAATCAGGCAATTTGTCTCATCTAGTCGTAATAAACACATGGGAATTGTTTTGACATTGTTGGAAGCGCCTTTCAAGCCTAGTAACTATAGTTGAGACTAAAAGTTTTGCCTAAACTCGATCTATATTTTCTGCCTTCACGCTCTCTCTCTCTCTCTCTCTCTCTCTCTCTCTCAAATTTGAGTTGAAGCAAGTTTGTCCGGCATTGTACTCACGGCTGCTTATGCGAGTTAAAGTGCTTGAACCCAGTATCAGTGAGTTCAATAGCGGAATCTCCTTGTATGAAGTAATGAGGAACTTTCTGCGTGATGAGATTTGGCTTTATTTTGATTCCCCTTTGAATTTCAATTTTCTCTATCTTTTTAAGTTGGGGTAAAGTTACAGAATTAGTGCGTTCAGTGGTATGATTTTATTTTTCTTCTTTTCTGCCTATTTCTGGACTAGGTTTGAGTGAGTGTATTGTGAACTTAACTCATTGCTTAACTCTTTCCTTGCTTTACTACTCGATTTTTATTTTCTTTGATGGATTTGAGCTGATAATGTATTGTGAACTTAACTCATGTAAGAACTTTAGTACTTTTTAAGGACATCCTCACTTGTGGTACATGCTATTTTCTCCCTAATTCGTTCTATTCTTTTCTTTTTTCTTTTTTTTTTTCTATTTTTTTCTTTGTTCCCCTTTTGTACTAGTTCCGCCTTTTTGTCATTTTTCCCCTTATGGTACATTTTCCTTCTTCTGAGAGCGGCCAATTTGTGCAAAAGAGAAAAAAGGCCAAAGATTAGGTTCATATCCAGTCTACCCCTCCCGAGACTCCAGATGGCTGGGACCAACATCCGATTTTGGCCTATTCACATTTTCCTTCTATTTTTAACCATGGTTGTAGTGTTTGGGGTTTTATCCTATTCATCTCCATATCAGCACTGGTTGCTCTTGATGTCTTCTCATGCATCATTCCTAAGTTGGTTTATGTTTTATATGAATGAATATGATCCTTTCCTGTACTTGTATTTATTTCCATATTGGTGACTGGATACTCTTGATGTCTTCTCATGCATCATCCCTAAGTAGGTTTATATTTTATATGAATGAATATGGTCCTTTTCAGTACTTACATGAAAAGGTCCTTTGCTCTATCTCTTGAGTCATTTCCTGTGTATTTTTAATGCAGTCATTACAACAGCTTAGAAAACCTGAAGGAGATGAAGGCCTACTAGCATATCAAGCAGGTGGTATCCATGGAGTCATGGGTGGGAGCAACTTCCCTTCATCCTCTGGCTCCATGCATTTGCCTCAACAGCCTAGGAAGTTCATTGATTTGTCTCAGCAACATGGTCACTCTCAGATTCGTGAGGAGAGTCAGAACAAAGGTCAAGGCCCTGAGCAGCATATTCAGAACCCAATTCATCAGGCGTATATCCAATATGCATTGCAGGCTTCCCAGCAGAAGACTGCTCTTGGGAACATGCAGCCACAGCAACAAGGTAAGATGGGAATGGTGGGCCCTCAAACTGTGAAGGACCACGATGTACGTTCAGGCAATCTGAAAATGCAGGACCTGATGTCCATTCAGGCAGCTAATCAGGCACAGGCATCTTCCTCCAAAAAGTCTGCTGAACATTTAGTGCTTGGTGAGAAGCAAATGGAGCAAGTGCAGCAGCCAACTTCTGATCAAAGGGGTGAGCCTAAGCCTCTGCCTCAGATGGCAGCAATTGGACAGATGTTGGCAGCAAACATGATAAGGCCTGTGCAGTCATCACAGTCTCAGCCATCCATCCAAAACATTGTTAACAATCAGCTTGCAATGGCACAGTTACAAGCAGTGCAGGCTTGGGCATTGGAACACAATATCGATCTGTCTCTACCTGCCAATGCTAATTTGGTGTCTCAAATTATTCCACTTTGGCAATCTAGAATGGCTGCACTTAAGAAGCCAAATGAGAGTAATGCTGCACAATCCTCACTGCAAGGTACCACATCAAAGCAGCAGGCTGTTCCTTCTATGGTTGCTGGTGAGAACTCTATTCATGGAAATTCATCAAGTGATATGTCTGGCCAGTCTGGCCCTGTAAAAACAAGACAGGCAGCTCCTACTGGGCCTTCTCCAACTACTGCAGCTGCTGCAATGGTCAATTCTAATAACATTCAAATGCAGCCGGTTACTGTTCATGGCCGAGAGAACCAGACTCCCAGACAGCCAGCTGCAATTGGAAATGGAATGCCCCCAATTCATCCACCACAGACTTCTGTGAACACAAGCCAGGTATTGGATCATTCTCTGCATGCAAGAAATTCCTTGACTGGGACTGAATCTTCTGTGCAAATGCAGTACTTCAGACAGTTGCAGCAGTTGAACAGATCCACTCCACAATCTGCAGTTCAATCAACTGATGGGGTCTCAGGCACCAACTTCCCATCTCAGGGTAGAATTGCCCAGATGCCACAACAGCGTCTTGGGTTTACTAAGCAACAACTCCATGTCCTTAAAGCCCAAATATTGGCATTTAGGCGTCTGAAGGTATGCAAGATCCAACTGATGTGTGTGTGTGTGTGTGTGAGGGTTCGAGTCTGAGTTGTGGCCACTGGCCACTTCATGCTAGAGGTTTGGTCTGTATCCAGTCCCCCCTCCCCCCTTCCCTAAGGCACTTGATAGCTGGGACCAGCATTGTTTATGGCCCTTTACGTCTCCAGTTTATAATAAATCTTGACAGTGTTATTTGACATTTTAGTTTGGTACATGACAGCGAGGAGAAAGCAGTCTACCTCAAGAAGTGCTTGGAGCTATTGCCCCACCACCGCTCGAGTCACAGCTACAGCAGGTATTCCTCCCCCCTGCAGTCATGGTTAATCATGATAGATCTACCGGGAAGAACATTGAAGAACACACAAGACATTCAGAGGCCCTTGAAAAGCCTCCGCAGGTCTCACCTTTAAGCAGCAGACAAAGTCTGCCAAAAGATGAACCCTTCACAGGAGAAGAGAAAACAAATTCATCTGCTGTTCACATTCAAGGGGTGACGGCTGTCACAAAGGAGCCCATTCGTATGGGATCTGTTGGGAAGGAAGATCTGCAAAATACAACATTTACTGTGAAGTCAGAGCATGAAATTGATCGGGGGAGTATGAAGGTTCCTGTTAAAGGTGATTTTACTGCAGATAGAGGAAAGGCTCTTCAACCTCAGGTAGCTGTATCCGATGCTGTACAAGTTAAGAAACCCAATCAAGCAAGCACTGTGCCTCAGCAAAAAGATGTTAGCCCCATGAGAAAGTATCATGGACCGCTTTTTGACTTCCCCTTTTTTACTAGGAAACATGACTCATTTGGCTCTGCAGTGGTTCTGAATAACATGAATAATTTAATGCTGGGATATGATGTGAAAGATCTTCTATTTGAGGAAGGCACTGAAGTACTTAACAAGAAAAGGACAGAGAATCTAAAGAAGATAGGTGGGCTGCTAGCGGTGAATTTAGAGAGGAAGAGGATCCGACCAGATCTTGTCTTGAAGCTGCAAATTGAAGAAAGGAAAATTCGGCTTTTAGATCTCCAGGCACGTGTTAGAGATGAAGTTGATCAACAGCAGCAGGAGATAATGGCAATGCCTGACAGGCCATACCGAAAGTTTGTTCGGCTTTGTGAACGTCAACGTATGGAGCTCAGTAGGCAAGTGCAACTTTCTCAGAAGGCCATGAGAGAAAAACAACTAAAATCCATTTTTCAGTGGCGTAAGAAGCTTCTTGAGGCACACTGGGCCATTCGTGATGCAAGGACTGCTCGCAACAGGGGAGTTGCCAAATACCATGAGAGAATGTTGAGAGAGTTTTCAAAGAGAAAGGATGATGACAGGAATAAAAGGATGGAAGCTTTGAAGAATAACGATGTTGACCGGTATCGTGAAATGTTACTGGAGCAGCAGACCAGCATCACAGGTGATGCTTCTCAGAGATATGCTGTTTTATCGTCATTTCTGTCACAGACGGAAGAATATCTTCATAAACTGGGAGGGAAGATAACAGCTGCTAAGAACCAGCAGGATGCAGAGGAGGCAGCAAATGCTGCTGCTGTTGCTGCACGATCTCAGGCATGGTCTTTTCTACTCATTTTCTTTTAATTCATGATTATAATCAGTAGCTTTACTTAATTCTTGTTGTTGCTTTTTGGAGAATGAACTATTACTTATTTATTAAATTCTGTAACAACAGGGTCTCTCAGAAGAAGAAGTCAAGGCTGCAGCATCTTGTGCTCGAGAGGAAGTAATGATAAGGAATCGGTTTTCCGAGATGAATGCACCAAAAGATAGTTCATCTGTCAATAAGTAAGTTTAGTATAAATTGCAAAGTTGGACGAACCAACTTTCCTGACAGGCTGAATAATCCTTTTTTGGAATCAGAAAAACAGCAACATGGGCTGATTGACCAAAAAAAGACAAGCACAAACCAAAAGTAAAGAACCAAAATGTACATTACTCAGCTATGCCAAATTCATATGAGCCCTGGATTAGGTATCCCTTAAACTAAATCCACCCTACTTGCCCCTTTCCTGGCCTAAGTATCAGCAAGAAAATTGACCATTATTGGGATCCAGTTGAATGAGGCATTCAAAATATCATCCATCCTTCTTGCCTCTTGCAGCATAAATCCAAATTCCCATAGACCTATAATGACAAAAACAGCTAGGCAAGGAGTTGATAGAACAAGCTGTATTGGAGGAATATAAACCTGGGGGATGGGCTTTTACAATTGGTGAAGTTGATGATGCAGCTTGCTGATATGTAGTTGGGTGCTAGGTATGATCTGTTGTATATCCAACATTCTTTTTTTTTTTTTTTTTTTTTTTTTTTCTTAATGAAAAATTGAATGAGTACCTATCAACAAAAATCAGATGGTCTCAGCTACCATTTTGGAATCACCTTCCATGATAATGTTGACCCAGTCTGTAGAAGATGCAAATTTTAAATCTTGAAGCAAATTACTTGAAAAGCTCATGAGAATTGTCTGTCATGATCTTTAATAAATGACACTGATAAAAAAAAAATCTTTAAATAAATGACCAGTTACTGAACAACCTGAGTTTCCTGGTCCCTGGAGAGCAGTCATAAAAGTTAAGTTTGATTCTTCCTTTTTCAAGTGTGTTCTAAAGCATGTAGGATCTGCCTCCTTGGTTGAAATGAATCAGCAATCTTCTGCCATCCCTTTAAAATAGTTGATAGAAGTACTCCTGAATTCTTCTCTAGCTGTGAGTCTTGTGACCAGTGTGCGACTCTCACTGAAATGATTTCAATGATGGACAAGGTCCCTTGCATCTAAAAGATTCTAGTATTTCTCTTATACTAAATACTTCAGGAAACGACAACCATAGGACACTTCCACAAAGTTCTCCCATTTTATTTGTGATTGGGAGCCATTGGTTATTAAACAGGTCCACGATGAAATCCATGAAGTGCCAAATGGAGGGGAAAAGTGGTTCCATATCATTGAAGAAATGATTGACATCTTCACCACTTCCCAAAATAAAGAACACACACATGAGTGGAGATGAACCAGTTTTTCTATCTCCATTAAGCATCTCATCCATATTGAGAATCTTTTTTTTTATTTTTTATTTTTTGTGATCCATTCTATATTGAGAATCTTCAGGAGTAGGTGGAATTTGGCCTTCCCAAATGGTTCTAGTTTGAAGGAAAAGGTGAAACATCAAGGGACCTAGAAAAGAAAACTACTAGAAACTACCAGGAGAGGAGGATTAAACTGTAGAACCCTTCTTGTCAGCCAAAAAGGAAAACATGTTTCATGCAACCTACAAGGATACGGCTTCATCAATTTCAAAGTCCTAATGATCCTCCTAAAACCAAAGTTCTGAGTAAAGCAGAAGAAGAAAGGGAAGATACAACGCAACAGCAATAGAAAGTTCTTGTGTATGGCAAGGCTATAAAGTCTAGAGAAAGTAAGACAAAGGGGTTGTTTCCCCTCCAATTTCCCCACAGAATCTAATTTTATGACCAGATACTGGATGATACCTGATTTTCTAGCAAAAGAGGAAGGAGTTTATAGATGGTCTTCCAGGGACACCAGAGAATGAACCTACTAGCAGATCTAATGATGGGCAAGTTTGTGGATAAATTATTTTATAATTCTTATGATACATATTATAACATTTACATGTATTATAAAATATGCATTTTTAGGGGAGAACATTTTAAAACACCGGAGACAGCTTTCTTATTGTATCTTTTTTTTTTTTTTGGTTTGTCATTCTGAATAACTGAAGGTGCCAACTGGCTCAGTTTGTAAGGTCTCTAGGTGGTTGTAGTGGAAACACTTGTTGTCAAGCATAGTTGTCAAGGCGATGCCTAGGCTATTAGGTGGTTTTACAGTTTCGCCTCGCCCAAATGCCTATAGTTTTGTATACTAGGCGACTGTCCAGAGACTTAGGTGGGCACCTGAATCCAGCTTTTGTGCTCTTTTTTTTTTTTTCAAAAAAACAGGGGCTTCTTCTCTTCCAGCCCAGCTTCAGTTCTTTTCTTCTTCGAAAAAACAGGGGCTCTGCCTCTTCTTCTTCTTCCAGATTCAATGCTTATTTTTCGAAAAACAGGGGCTCCGCCCCTATTCTCCTCCCTCCTCCCCCTCTTCCCCCTCACAATGGGGTGTCTAGTTGCTGAGTCACCTAAGCGATAAAATTTTCATAAACTAAGAAACTAAATTTTGCCTAGTTCCCTAGATTTATATTCCATTCAACATGCATATTAATTGAAAAAAATAGCAATTGTCTTTATAAAGAACATTAAATTTCCTCTAAAAAAACATGGCAAATCATCATACCTTGTACAATAGCATTTCAAACATATTAATTTCAATACTTTCAAACATGGTTTTCAAGGTGCCAAGGCAAGGATAGGCAATGGATTTTTTTTTTTTTTGCATAAAAAACGTCAATCCTAGGGTAATTCCCTTGGTTCCATAGCAAGCAGTAACTGTCTTCCACTAGTAATTGCCTATAATCTTCATAAAAAATGTATAAACTTCACGTTTTTTTTTTGCTGCAAATATAGACCTCATTTAAAACATAGAAAATCGGCATAAAGAATTTCACAAAATAGAGTGGCTGAGGATAATTAATATGTCTATACTTAATTGGACAAAATTGAGTTTTTTCATGCTTATCGATATGGGTTTTGGAGTCTTTGAGGATTCAAGACAGCATACATGTTGATTGAACCCTAACAAATAAGTAATTAATACAAACGAAACTAGTATTTTAACTCACATACTGAGTAAGTTTAATAGTTTCTGTTTTATTGTTAAGAATATAAAAGTATATAATAAAACCATGTAAAATACTTTGGCGATTAAGTGAGGTCACCTTGCATGGGCACCTTGTCACCTAGGTGTTGATTTGGCAATTATGCCTTAAAAAATAATACTAATAATTTAAGCATTTAATAGAGTAATTTTTTTATCAAATTAGAAAGCCAGAAAGCCAGAAAGGTTATTATTTATATGATAAAATTTAAGATACGGAGTAAGTAAAAGAGTAAAAAAAAAAAATAGCAAAGCTACTGTTTTATTAAATGAAGAGAGAGCAGAGAAACCTCTTTGTACTTACTCTCTCCTTTGTTCTCTCTTTTCAATAGAAAAATATTAAAACAAAACATACATGATATTATAGCATATAATGGAATGTATTAAAACACATATTGGTGAGATGTAGCAATATTAATGATATTATAATAAGGCACATGCCTTGCCATTTTTGTTGCTTAGGTGGACTTCTAGTTGCCTAGATAGGCACCTTGTTGCTGTAAGCCAAGTTGTTCTTTTGAGGTGCCCGGCCAAGGTTGCCTAGGCGGTAACTGGAGAATTTGGATTGATGCCCACCTTCACCTGGGATTGGGGGGTTATGGGTATGACTTTATGAGGAATAGTCTACTCCTGTTGTCTGGTTCCACAAAGTCCCCCCCAAAAAAAGAAAAATCTAAAGACTTAATTTCTTTTCAATGGGTTGATTAATTTAGTTCTGCTGGATTGAAGTCTATCATACTGGCCATGAATGAAGATACATACAATTTATGCAGTAACTTTTCTTTGCATGTATTAGTTAAGAGACGAATGCTGGTGCAAGAAGCCGTTAATCGATAGGACAAAAGGAAACTTAAACATCCTTTAGCCTTACATATTTGCAGAAGTATCAATTCTCAAGTCTTGTCCGTTCATGATTTAAAGGCTCATGGCTGTTGATCTTGTAGGATAAACATTTCTTTAGTTTAAATATCTGAGACGATGGTAGGTAGAATTACTCTATGTTGTTTTCTCCTCAGTACTCTATTTATTTACATATTCTCATAATTTTGACCAGATATTACAATCTTGCACATGCTGTGAATGAAAGGGTCCTGAGGCAACCCTCAATGTTACGTGGTGGAACCTTGCGTGATTATCAGCTTGTAGGTTGCAGCCCTCTTAAATTAGGTTTTTCTTTTTTTCTGTTTTGTCATTTACCATTTTTTTCTTGTTGCAAGTAAGCATTTTGAGTTCATTATTTTATTTTGCAGGTTGGGTTGCAGTGGATGCTTTCTTTGTATAATAACAAACTAAATGGGATTTTGGCTGATGAGATGGGTTTAGGGAAGACTGTGCAGGTTGCTTTCTGCTAGACATGGTTTACTTTGCATTTTTTCCTCTTTTTCTTTCTCAATTTATTCTCTCTCTCTGAAGCTAAATGTGCAGCCATTCTGTTTTTAGGTAGTATTTCTAATTACATTCCTACTGATAGTTGAGAAACCTTGAAGTTCTGATACCAACCTAATGTTATGTATAAAAAACAGACAGAACAGACTAATAAATAATCATTTTCCTTTTAATGGATTCTTTGCTGGGACAGGTAATGTCACTGATTGCTTATCTGATGGAGTTCAAGGGGAACTATGGGCCACACCTTATAATTGTTCCAAATGCTGTTTTGGTTAACTGGAAGGTTGGATGCTTATTTTTTCATTACCTCATAGTTATGAACTTGATGTATCATTCCTTTTCCATTCTAATCATGAAAAAATAAAACCATTTCTGCTTTTCACTTTAATCTCTTTGACATCATTATCTTTCAGAGTGAATTCCATAATTGGTTGCCATCTGTGTCTTGCATCTTTTATGTTGGTGCAAAGGAGCAAAGGTCAAAGTTATTTTCTCAAGTAAGTGTCTGCCTTTATTTTCTTTTTCATTGATATGTGAACTGTTGATACTTTGCTGAACCTTCTTGTTTAAACCAAAACACTTTATTTAGGAAGTTTGTGCCATGAAGTTTAATGTGCTGGTTACGACATATGAGTTCATCATGTATGATCGTTCAAAGTTGTCAAGAGTTGATTGGAAGTATATCATAATTGATGAAGCACAACGTATGAAGGATAGAGAATCAGTTCTAGCACGTGATCTTGATAGATATCGCTGTCAGCGACGCCTACTTCTTACAGGAACTCCATTACAGGTGTAGCCACTGAGTTATAATACATAGAAATCTGTAAAACATAGTTATTTTTTATCCTTGGTTGAACATGTGTTGATTTTTCCTTCATTCTAATCGTGGGTATATTGTTCATTTTCCATTTTTATCTATGGTAATTCATGAATGCTGGTATTTCACATAGTTCAAGATTGAATTGAGAATTGGGATTTTTTATTAACTGTTATGTTCTATGAGATCTCCTTTTCTATGGGGGCTGGGGGAGTTTTCTTCATTGATTCTACTTTGGTTGATGTTGCCTGTATTTGATGGTACAGACGCAAGTATGATACCTCTTGGTGCAGTTTTTTTTTTTTTTTTTTCATTTTTAGATTAAGATGACTATTGATTACATATGTAACAAATGGAAAATTGTAGATTTGTAAGACATTTTTAATGATAACTGTATCAAAAGAAAATAGAAATAAACAGTGTTACCTTGGTAGATGGCATGGTGCAAGTATTCAGGTATTTTGGGCCTTTTGGCATGTAAACCTCAAAAACTATGATGCAAGAGCATCACAGTAAATAACGTCTAATTACATAAATAATTAAGAACATAATAAAATAATAAATTAGAGTTTTTTTTTTGATCAATAATTAGAGTGTTTACTCCCTATTGGATGCCTTTGTTGTTATGTCATGCCTTGTGTACTAGCCCAAGTTTTTTCTGGATTCAGTTTATTGGGTAATCTACTTAGAGGATCCACTGATAATAGATACCTTTGTAAAGACCAAAAGGCAAGTTCCAGTGAACACAATTCATCTGAAAGACCTTAAGATGTTCAATCTCCAAACTCCATAACCAACTACTCTCTTCCTCTACTCTGCAAAAGCCATACCTTTATACAACCATCTTTGTCAAAGTTGGGCTTTACTACTATGTTTTAGTTACTCAACCAAACCTCCTGAAACCACCTACTTCTTGAACATACCACTTCAAAAAGAATAGCAAGTAGTGAACTAAAGATGAAAAAGAGGAAAAGGAAAGATGGATTAGTTCTGGGGAATCTATACTCTATTTCTGTCTTTTGTGTCTTTAGAAAAGATTTGTAAATGTCATAAACTATCCCTGCTACAATTTAACTCATCCACACCATATGCTATTGTCCCAATGCATCAGAAACACACTTCCATTGTTTGTTTTCCTTGACTGAATCTGCGGATTATGCTCTTTCCATACTTAACATCATCCATTTAGGCTATTTAGCCTTTCTACCAACATACCCTTTCTTCTCACCACCCCCAGCATATACCTGAGCAGATTGGGACCAGTTAGTATAACTGATCTTATCTAATTTCTCAGCAGTAATTAACATTGTTGGTTTTATCAGAGTGGATGCCTACTTGTAATCATGCCTTAGAGCTACTTGAACCAACATTTGAATCATTGGTGCTACACTGCTACTTATGTCAGACATCCTTTCAATTTGATAGTCCCTTATGAAACTAAACAAAACATAAACAGTAGTAAAATTTCCAGCTCTCCACATGGACCATTTTTTATCATTAGGCCTACATGGATCTCATATATCTTCTTAAAATAGTTTGTAGGAAATGGAGATCAAAGAGAACCATAGACTACTTATGCTGTGTTTAGGAGTGCTTACCCAATGCACTTTTTGTGCTTTTAATGTAGGGGAAGCCAAAAACCAGTAAAAAAACCGTTTGTTTGAAAAGCTTGAAACTGGCTTTCTGTATCAACAAACCCATTTGAAAAAGCAGAAAAGTCCATTTATATTTTCACGTTTGCAAGAAGCTATTTTGAACAAAAAAGCTGGTGGCTAGCCAAACAAAAAAGAAAATCTTTTTGAAATAGCTCGTTTCAAAAAGTAACTTTTTCAGAAGCCTGTTTAGGCCAAAAAGCACTCCAAAACACGGCCTTAATGCTCTATTTTACATGGTGGTAGCATCTAGATGGATCAACACAAAGAACTGCAATTACATGTGGTTTGGCATCACAAAACACTACTCTAACATGGCCTTCTGGAGGGGGGGGGGGGGGGGGGGAGGGGAGGGAGCTGTTGCATCAGCAGATATTAAGTACTAGGCAAGTCACTCAAAATCAGAGTAACACGATTTGATGTAGTTGACCAAAATTAGGGATCGCTTGAGTGGTCAAATAAACCATCTTTCTGGTTTTCGTTGATTTACACTCTGCTTTAATAGGAATGTTGCAACATTTTTGAGTATTTTTTCTTTGTTTAGTGGTTATGAAAACTCATAGCTATGCAGAATTCTATTTCTTCCCCAGTATACTTGGTAACAACAAAGGTGGTTACTGTGAAACAATATTTGGGCAGAAGTCTATTTAAACTGTGATATATTGTAGACCTTTAAGGGGGATCAAGTTTCTGAATACCGAGTCCCCATGAAGTAATCTATATTGAGATTAGGCACTAACAAGTAACTTTCCTTCGAAGTGGTATCTAATTGTATGTTTATTGTTTGCTGAACTGGTGAAGTAGAGGAGCAAGAAGAGATGAGAAGAGAATAGAAGAGAGGTGTGTATGGGCGGCAATGTGTGTCCAGCCAGCCCTAGAAACTAATATATATATTAACATTAGAATGTTACAATGAAAGGACTAGAATGCCCCTAATTAGTGATAGAACACCTAGACAGTACAATAATAAACCAGTTTAGGCCCAATAGCTAAAGGTCCATAACATAATATAAATTAATACATGAAATGTCAAATAGGCCTACTAACACTTAAATCACTTGACACAACACTCCCCTTCAAGCTAAGCATGGATGTCAGCCATGTTTAGCTTGCCAAATAATCCAAGGAACTTCACTGAAAATAGGCCTTTTGTTAAAACATCATCAATCTGCATCTCTAAGGGGGTGTAAGGAATGCAAAATTCGCTTGAGACAATTCTCTCTCTCGAAGTGTCGATCAATCTCAATGTGTATAGTCCTATCATGCTGTACATGGTTATTTGCAATGTTGATKGCAGCCTTGTTGTCATAGTACAACTGTAGGGGACCATCATTTCTCATTCCCAGCTCACCTAGGAGAGGCCTAAGCCACAATAGTTTTGCAACAACATGTGCCATAACCCTATACTTAGCTTCTGCACTTGATCTTTCAACCACATTTTGCTTTTTACTTCTCTAAGTAACCAAGTTCCCCCCAACAAATGTGCAATATCTAGAAGTAAACTTCCTATCTCCAATTGGTACAACCCTATCAACATTAGTATATGCCTCTATTTCATGTTTATTGTGCCTCTTGAGTAGGATTCCTTTCCTTGGACAGGTCTTCAAATACTTAAGGATACTTACAACGGCTTTCATGTGAGGTATCTTGGGTGATTGCATAAACTGACTCACAACATGTACTACATAAGCTATATCTGGTTGGGTAAGAGACAAGTATATCAATTTTCCCACTAGCTTTTGGTACCTTTCTTTGTCAGAGTAGTCCTCACCAATAGACTCTTGAATACAATGGTTTTGATCTATTGGTGTATCTGTTTTTCTACTCATCATACTTGTCTCCTCTTGTAGATCAAGTACACACACACACACACACATATATATATATATATATGCCTTCTTGTGACCTTGCAACTTTAATCCCAAGAAAGTATCTCAAATGGCCTAGATCTTCAATCTCAAATTCGGATGCCAAGAACCCCTTCAATCTTTTTATCTCTTTTGGATCATTCCCTCTGATTACACCATATCCTCCATATAGACTATGAGAGTTGTAAGCATATCACTCAGTTTCCTTATGGACAAAGTATGATGAACACCAATTCAATCTTTTTATCTCACTCTCTTCATGGCTCCATAAAGCTTCTTAAACCAAGCTCGAGGAGATTACTTCAACCCATATAAGGCTTTTGATGAGGTAAAGAGATATTCATTCACACTGTTTATTACATGATCAGGGCCTTATATAGCTGGCCTACATGTGTGCAATCATGGAGAGAATATCTTCTGGTGGCAGTGTAACTAACTCTAGAAGGTTCTGAGTGTGACCAACTCTGGAGGCTCTGTCGCGTGTCACACTACCCTTTCTGTCTTCTAGTGAAATGCTGATTGGTGGTGGTCTACTCCACTCCCATAGTTGGGTTCGGAGGGAGTGTTTGGGTTCCAACAATCCCTCCCCCCTTAGCATTGACCTTGGCCTCAAGGTCTAGGTTCGGAAACCTCTCGTTCAGCCTTAGATAAGGTTCCCAAGTGGCGTCATCTGGAGGAAGCCCAGCCCATTCTACCTTGGCTTTTGGCACAACTTGACCACCTCGTCGAACCCAACGGAAATCCACAATTCTGATAGGCTTTGTGTCAATGTCCCCTTCTTCAGTGAATTGGGGTAAGTTGGATGAGACAGGAGTATGATTTCCCACCGCCTTCTTAAGAAGTGAGATGTGAAACACCGGATGAAGCTTTGAGGTTGCAGGGAGGTCCAACTGGTAAGCAACAAGGCCCACTCTCTCCAGAACCTTATAAGGCCCATAATACCTAGGTGCTAGCTTGTGCCAAGCCCGTCTTACTACTGAGATCTGGCGGTAAGGTTGGAGCTTAAGGTAAACAAAATCACCCACCTGAAATTCTAATGGGCGGTGGTGAGAGTCATAGTGGGCCTTCATTCGCTGTTGGGCTTTTGTCAAGTTGGACTTAAGCAATCTAAGAATCTTGTCTCTTGCAAGTAGACAGGTCTCTACTTCTGCCACATTGGATGACCCATATTCATAAGGTAATACGGGAGGGGGTTCTCTACCATATAGAGCTTTGAAGGGTGTCATTCCAACAGCCAACTGATAAGTCGAATTGTACCAGTATTCTGCCCACGGAATCCAGTGAGCCCACTGTTGAGGCTTCTCCCCTATGAAGCATCTAAGGTAGGCTTCCAAGCATCGATTAAGAACTTCAATTTGTCCATCAGTCTGCGGGTGATAACTTGTGGAGGGGTATAGTTGGGTTCCTTGCAACCGAAAATATTCCTTCCAGAATGAACTCAGGAAGGTTGGGT